TGCTTTGGTGTGTGTGTCTGTGTGTGTGTGGGTGTGCGTGTGTGTGTGGGTGTGCGTGTGTGTGTGGGTGTGCATGTGTGTGTGTGTGTGTGTGCGTGCGTGTGTATGTGCGTGTGTGTGTGTGTGATGTTGCTTTCTTAACACACAAAGTCTTTACAGTTCAGTAACAGCTGGTCAGGTTTGCGGCTCACATTGCTTTTAAATGTTGAGGAAGACGCAGGCAGCTTATGAAGATGGGGAACACCAAACAGCTAAATGGGTTAGATATGTCACTGTGCAGCTAACATCTAATGTGCTTCCAGAAAATTGCATGTGTGGATATCACAAGGGAGCAGTCCCTAGTGGGTTAGTGGATAGTGTTATAGTCAAGCAGCCCATCCAAATATACTACAGTTGATTGGTCATGGTCAGTCATGGGGTCTGAGTCCTTGCAGTCTGTAATTTGGACTATAGTCAGCCCTGCAGGTCAACTGCAAGCAGTCCAGGGATTATAGGTAGGTCAGTCAGGGTGTTGTGGAATGATCAATCCCAGCAGTGGGCCAATTTGTTTGCTGCAAGGGAGCGATTGAATCTGATGGAAGGCCAATTATTGGTGATGCAGGAGCAGGAGAGGCAGTGCAGTGTCCCCATTGAGAGATCAGGAAGTACAGAGAGTTAGTAGTTTAGGATGAGACGGGAGAAAGCTGTTTATTGATGCAATTTGTGCTATTTATGCTCAGTGATGTTCAGCTCTTTGACATTTTTGTAGGGTTGCTCCAGGAGTCCTGAAACTCTTGCATAACAAAATGTTGCTCTGAGTCATAGTGGTCTGGGTGTCATGAATCTCAGTCACAAAACACTTCAGCTGAAAACGGAATTATTCACCCTTGGTATAACTGGGCCCTGCATCAAATTTTGCAGTGCTGCTGATTATTTGATGTAGTCCTTTTATCTCTGTGCAATTTTACACCATGAAAATACATTTTGTAACTTGTCTTAACTTCATTAGTTGGATCTGATAGCAAAGTGTTTACATTTTTCTGGATTGTGTATAAATATTGAGGGTAAGGGTAATTTGTGAATTACAGCATGACATTCTCATTCACAGCCTACACAGGGGTATATCACGTTTTTGAGGTGCAGGTCTGCTTGTGGAAAGCATATTTTGCTGTGAAATCTAATGAGGAGATTTGGAATTAGCTCTAACAGTTACAATTATATCTGACTATGTTGCTGCCATTTACAACTCTTGAATATGCAGCAGGAAGTTGCTTGGAGTTAGATTTGGATATGTAAAATTTTCAGGAACTCTCTAATGTTGCTGTTGTCAAATTCTTTCTCTGAGAGCTAAGAAATGTTCACACTGACCAGCGTGATGTAAATGTGTTGTTAGAATATATCATTGACTCACCCCCAACACAATCTCCACAGCCGTAAGTGATAAGACATGTCATTAAACAATCTCAAAATGGTTTGTTTTACAGCTCAGAAGTGACGTTTTACTCCATGGCTGATAGCTGGGTGTGATAAAGATTTAAAGAAACAGTTTGGGAATGAGATGTACATTCTTTTCATCTTACCTTCCTCTCCAAGGAATAACAAAAGCCAAGTAGTTATTCTTCCTTCCTAACTTCCTATGCAGCACTGAAGTTGTATGCTGTCTTTAATATGCATCAGCCTAACAAGTTGATCAGTTGTTCTGCTGATCTTGGTTTGGCATTCAGGACTGCCAGTGTTTGAGATTCTGTGGGACAATGTCAAGTCATTCATGGGTCAACTGAAGAATTAGTGATTCCCATTCCTTTGCTATGAATTGCTGGGAGGTCACAGGGCACACTTTTCTGTGCCAATGCAGATTTGCTGTTGCCAAACACACACACACTTGGTATCCTGAGAATCTGAAGGTCTGTGCCTAGCTGTGTCTTTGTTGTAGAAGAGCTTTCTTACTGTTAGATTTGACGCAATCAGTCGTGCCACAGCAAATGTCAGCTAAGATGAGCAGCCTTGTTGCTGCTTCTCAATCTAGCTGCCTATAGTATCATTTCTCATTCAGGCCAATAACCTTAACATAATGCACTAACATCTGCTTGAGAAAATAAATCTGGAATACTTGGAAGCCTACAAATCAAGTGAAAAACAAATTCTTATTCATTTTGTTCTGTTCTCGTGCAGTGTATATGTAAATGCAGATTGAGAAAGAGGAACGTACATCTCAAGTGGTCACATTATGGAACCCTTCTCTCTATTTGTGATGCATAGCTTTTTTTTTACTTAGTTTATATGAGGACAGCATTGAAACAAGTCTTCCAGAACAATAGGACTATGTTGGTGTTTATCCTGCTTTCTTTGTATGTATGAACATATGAAATAGGAATCGAACATATAGCAATGATGTAGAAGAAAATGTGGCGTGGTTGAGTTTTGGGGATAGCAGGAAGATTGGCTGATGATTGACAGTGAAGATGAAGGTCTTAGGTTACAGGAGGATATAGACAGATTGGTCAGGTGGGCAGGCAAGTGGCAGTTGGAATTTATCCCTGATAAGTGTGAGGTGGTGCACTTTGAAAGAAGTAACAAGATAAGGGAGAACTCAATGATTGGCAGGACACTAAGAAGCTCAGAGGAACAGAGGGATCTTGGGGTATTTGTCCACAAATCCCCAGCAGTGAGAAGGCGGATGGGACCCTTGCCTTTATCAGTCATGGCATAGATTATAAGAGCAGTGAGGCTATGTTGGAGCTGTGCAGAACTTTGGTTAAACAACAGCTGGAGTACTATGTGCGGCTCTGGTCACTGCACAATGGGAAGGATGTGATTGCAGTGGAGGGGGTGCAGAGGAGATTCACCAAGATGTTGCCTGGGATGGAGCACTTCAGCGATGAGGAGACGCTGGATAAACTTGGGTTGTTTACTTTGGAGCAGAGAATGCTGAGAGGGAACCTGATTGAGAGCTATACAATTTTGAGGGGCATGGACAGAATCAATGGAAAGCAGCTGTTCCCCTTAGCTGAAGGGTAGATACAAGAGGGTATAATCTTTAATGTAAAAGGCAGGAGTGATTTGAGGAGTTTTTGTTTACACCCAGAGGGTAGTGAGGGTTTAGAATGTACTGTCTGGGAGGGTAATTGAAGCAGGAAACCTTACAACCTTTAAAAGGTACTTGGATGAAAACTGGAAATGTCATAACATTCAAGGACATGGTACAAATGCTGGAAAATGGGGCTAGTACAGTTTTAGAATGTTGACTTGATGGGCCGAATGACCTTTTCAGTGGTGATTGATTCTGATTTAGCCCTTGAACCTGTTCACCATTCAGTAAAATCATAACTGATCTGTTTGTGTTTCAAATTCCACTTTCCTCACCAATTTCCCAATAACCTTTGATGCCCAGCTAACAAGGACCAATCTAGCTTCACTTTAAAAGTATTCAGTGACCCACACCCTCAATGCTTTCTGTTGGGCAGAGTTCCAAACTTGCTCAGTTCTCTGAGAGAAAAGAGTTCTCATCATCTCAGTGCTAAAAGGGCAACCCTTAATTTTCAAACAGTTCCCCCAAGTTTGGGACTGATCCACAACAGGAAGCATCCTGTCTACATTTCACCTTGTCAAGCCAATTCAGGATCTTATACACTTTAGTCATGTTACCCCTCACTGTTCTAAACTCTAGTTGAAACAAGTTTAGTCTGTCCCAATGATTCTGATAAGACATCTGTCCATTCCAGGTATCAGGTGATTTATTATGTGTCTTAGGAAAACCAATGGAAGAGAAATTAATTTCATATAGGCTCCCAATAAATGGAAAGGGATTGTTCCTCACAATTGGGATGTATGCTGGATAGCCAATCAGCTACCACTTATTATCACCAACTTCAAAGGTGCATTTTTGCTATTCCTTTCCAAATTCAAGATCCACATGGATTTCCAGTGGCCAGCATCACTGACATATGAAAGCCGTTTCTAATTTGGCGCTGGTGCTGTAAGGATTCCCAACAGCCATAAAGCAGCTAACGTTCCTGTGGTTCATTGTCAAAGGTGACCACATGTGGGCCATGATGAATCATAGAATAATTACAGAAACCTCTGTTCATTACCCCTATCCTTACTGACCTACACTGGCTATTAGTATTCACTGATCTACACTGGCTATCAGTATTCATTGACCTACACTGGCTATTAGTATTCACTGACCTACACTGGCTATCAGTATTCACTGACTTATACTGGCTATCAGTGTTCACTGACCTACACTGGCTATCAGTATTCACT